ATATATAACTTAATATGGCCATTAAATTATTAGAATGTAGATAATAATGATAAAGAAGATGGAAAATTATTGAATAAGGATTGTTTTGTATTTACTTGAGCACTGGGTCTTAGACCTGATGGTAGTCCTTTGATTTTTAGCACAAATTAGCCTAGAGAGACTGTTCTTTACATGATTCCTGAAATGAGGTAATGTCCTTAGTGGCTACTGTCTTCATAGATGCTGAGTCCTTATACTTTGATTTACTATGTATCCACACATGAATATACCTAATTCATGGATTTTTGAAGGATTTACTTTGAATGGGATTTTAAATTTAATAAAAAAGCATTTCAGGAGTAATATTCATTTAAAAAAAACAAAAGGTTTCAGGTCTTTACACTATTTATGTCATATTATCCCGTCACAACTAAATGTGGCTATCCATAGCTTTGGTTTTTAACTTAGTTTAAAGCAAATCTTTTTTTGTTCCTTACTATTAAATATTCATCACACACATGTGGTGACATTTCTCTAACAATTTTGAGATAAAGTTTATTTTTTAAATTATGTAATACTTTTTGGAATTCATACCTAGTATGATGTGATCTTCTAAAACTCGATGATATTTGGATGTAAACTGAGGGCCCAGTTGAGTAAGTGTGTTTATTTATAGCATTATTCTGGTTGTTTTTAACCTAACCTAGTTTAAAATCTCTGGTTCTACCTTCATGAAGCAGATGTTTGTGCATAAAAAAGCACTATAGAAATCTATTGTAAACCTTCGTTTAGCGTGATTTCAACGGTGCACAGATAGATGCTATAAATGCCCTTAGCTAAACCTGACTGCAGTAAAAGTTAAAAAGGAGTCTGGAATGTGATTTATCTTGTTTTGAGATTTAAGTCACCATTATATGTATTATTTGCTAAATAAGTTAGACACATGTATGTTAGAAATTACTAATGGAAAATACATGTTCTTTGTATCTTCATTTAAAATAACATAACTACAAACATTTTTTTCAAATCCGTCAATTTATTTTAATTGCGATTGCTAGGAATTCATTTTACAAAGTACTTACCAATGAGAAGTTGATGTGTTATGTAAATTTAAAATTGTAATGGTCACAAATAATTGTTGGACTATTCCTGTAAATATATGTTGCACAACATACATATACATAGCAACACATATAATATGTATGTTACATGTTGCATATAATTTATGCATTTATTTAAATTTCCTCTCTCTATATATATAGATTATTTTATTGGTTAACTTACATAAATATTGAAATACTTTGAAAATCATAATTGTATTTTAAAAATTTACTCTTTTGTTAAGTTACTTTTCAAGCAAGTGAAAGGTAGTCCATTATCTTAAAACACATTTAAGTATTTGTGCTGTCTGATCATTTAAAGGTCTTTGTGTAAGATTACTGTAACAATGCACTTATGTGTGTGTATATGTGTGTGTGAGAGAGAGAGAGGGAGAGAGAAGAAAGTGAAGAGGAAGAGAGAGATCTGAAACCAACCTACACATCCTTGTTACAGTTATGGCTACCTGATAACTTAGAACAAGAATCAGAGCAGCAATTTAACATCATATTAAACTCTCTTGCACCCTCTGTTGTTTTTTTGGGGGAACACTGCACATACCTTCCCATGATTGTATTGGCATTAGTCTTACTAAATCCCTGTTAAAATTAATACTTAGTTTATTGTATTTACTCCAAATTAGATTAATAGTAAGGTAACATTTATCTGTAATTCTTAGTTGATGTTTCCTTGTATTACAGATATGTTTTTATTGTATAACACCTTAAATCAAAGAGGAGCCTCTCTGTCTTTGAATTCTCCTAGTTACCAACCAGTTCAAGCCCCATCAAATGTTTCACGCAAATGAAAATCTCTGCAGGGTATACAGTACACTGTATATACAGTTTTCCAGAATTACAAATTCTGCCTGTTCTTTTGTAAATCTTTCAATTGTCAGACAGTTTCCTTCCAAAATAAGAATCTGGAATCGTCCATACTAAAATTAAGAATTTATAACTGTAAGGAACAGATGTTTTCATAAACATTTGCTATAATTAATTTCAACTAGAGGATTGAAGGAACAAAGCAGTTTTTCCTGCTTCAAAACTTTATTGCCTTTTCCCCATATAGCAAACTCTGAAATCTTTTCTCTAATATTGTTTGGAAAAACAGTTGTACTCCTTATTTGGTATGTTTTCGAGAAAGAAAAACTGCTTCTTTTCCTTATTCCCATCCTTTGAAGGTCACATCTAATGTGATATACTCATTTTGAAACAAGTATAAAATGAAGAAACCTTTGTAATATATTATGATGGCAAAACCTAGTTTAAAAACTGAACGTCTCTTAATTGTTTGAAGGATTTTATATTTGATCTGGTAAATATCAGCAGAAAGGGAAAAAAATTCTGTTCGTGAGATCTTATGTGTTTAATCATAATCTTTAGTTTTAAAGAAAAAGAAGGCTTATATTTTAAATGTATGGTATAGTACTTATTTTATACTGATTATAGAATGTTTCACAGGAAATGTCTGCAAGCTGTTAAATAACATGTGTTGTAGGAAATTTTCATTTAGCAGGAAACAGACTAATTTTCTTTAAATCTTTTTAGTTTACTTATTATAATACCATTAATTTTTTTAAGAAAATGAAGTATGTTGTGCGAGTAATCCTACAGTGTCTGTGTTTTCAAAGAATTAACAAAATATACCCAGCTAAATTGATCTTAAACATTTAAGTGTTTGGGGGTAATTTTCTCCTATAAAATTTGGCAATAGTTTTGAATGCTGTAATCCGTTTTAGGATTTTTGTTAATGAAAAAAAGAAAAGAAAGAAAAGAAACCTGAAAGTGCATTTTGAAAAAAGAATAGTTAAAAGTTAGTAAGTGGACTCAGTCCAGTTCTTGTCCTGCTAAACACTTTGGCACAGCTGTAAAGATTTTGAAAAGAACCAACATTCTTGACTAATCTGTCAACTATAAAATGTGCAAAGAAAAATAGGTAGCTGTCATTAAAATTACATTTCAGCTTTCAATAACCATTTAATGAGTGGCATAATTATATAAGTATGGTACCTTAAGTACTGTACTCAATAATTAAAAATAATCTCATCTTTAAAGTGAAAGCTCTGTAATTACTATTTGACTTAACCAGGACCACTATGATGATCTCCAGTGGCACCTTAGATTGTTCAAAGTGGATTAAAAGTATAAATTAAAATAGATAAATCATTGAATTATTAAGCTTTAAAAAGCATAAAAATGAATATAACCTGATGCTTGAAAGTTACATTACAAGAATTAGGAGTATAAAATGTAATCACAATCTAGTATTTTTTTTTTTATTTTTTTTTCAACGTTTATTTATTTTTGCGACAGAGAGAGACAGAGCATGAACGGGGGAGGGGCAGAGAGAGAGGGAGACACAGAATCAGAAACAGGCTCCAGGCTCTGAGCCATCAGCCCAGAGCCTGACGCAGGGCTCGAACTCACGGACCGCGAGATCGTGACCTGGCTGAAGTCGGACGCTTAACCGACTGCGCCACCCAGGCGCCCCTAGTATTTTTAATGTGTTTCTAAGAATAAATGGTCTATTTATTAGTAGCATACTATGGTTTCCTGAAGACTATACTTTGAAGTATGTATTTTAAAATGCAAACTACTAAAATTAAATTAAATTTCTTTTAATAAGCATATATATTTTATATTGTGGCATTGGTAAACATTTTTTAAACTTCTTTAGCACATTTATTTTTATTCTGTAATCTCTAAACTGGCAGGTATGAATTTGTTCTGCGTCTGATACAATGAATATAACTGTTTCTTAAGTGGAAATTTTTTTTTCTAAATGTTTGGCATTACTACATGATGCAGAAATATCTTTCAGTGTTGTTTTTTCGTTTTTAAAACTGCTGAACTTTTGCCCATGGTTAAAATAGAAAGTTTCGGGAAGAATATTAAGGTGTATTAAAAGCTCCTTAGAATGCATTCACCACCTCCCCAGCCTGCTTTCTGTTTAACTTCTTTGCTTACCAAATTCCTGGAGCATGGAGAACTGGGAACTGAAAACATTCCAGGTCCTCTCTCTGTTGCTCTCTTTTGACTGTGTGGCCAGGACAGGTGATTTGGTCACGAACAAAGAATTTCCCTTTATTTATAATCATTAGTGTATTATTAAATAGTTTATAAATTTCAGTTTTGTTTGTGATTCATAAGAGGAAAATGTCTCTGTACTGTACTTCATTTGTTCCTGTTAATAATTACTTTGATAGTATTCTTATCCAACTTAGGAGTTGGTGGTATTAGTTCATATTATAGCATCAAAATGAATTTTTTGACTAGAGAGCTCTGATTACAAAAGCTATTTGGGGGGTAGGGATAAAGGGTTATATGTTTTTGGACCCAATATACTGCATAGAGCTGTCACACAGCAGCTTTTCAACTAAAATACTCAGTTTCACAATCTTCATTATTTCGTATTTTTAAAATTTTTTTTTCCAGGAGATTCAAATAAAAATGGAAGAAGAAGTTCTACTTTAGATTCTGATGGGACTTTTAATTCTTATAGGTAGGTGACAAATTATTACAAGATACTATACAAGCTACCTAATGTTACAGGATTCTAAGAGTAGTAAGGAATTGTTACCTGTGTTTTAAAAATACGTCAAATGTAAAGGATATTGTGATATGTGATTGTTCTGCAGACTTATTGAGTAATGAAAAATGTAACCTTTTAAATTCTTGAGTAAATGGCCTTATTGTAGATATCAGTTGTTAGTGTATACAGGATAACTGGTATGAATGCATATGTAGTGTTAAACTCCGTTATAATCAATTTTTGTTTTTGTTTTTCCAGTATATCTGTTACAGTACTAAAGGCTTCCTTTTGTTTAAGTTTCCTTTTAAAACAGGATATATTCCTTATGAGCATCTAAGAGTATGAAATGTACTCCCTGGTTACATTAAGCACTGTTTGTTAATATCCCCTTTGACTCTTCAGCAAACAGGACAGTTACATCTCAATTAGTGATTTTTTTAAAAAGGATACACTAGTTAAGAAAACCTGGATCTTATCTAGTATTTTGGTAATGTTCTCCTTATAACTTGATATGCTTGAGTAAATGTTTATGGATTTTGTACCTTCATAACAGGGAAGCCTAGGAAGAAGAAAAATTATATTATTTCCAGTAGTATTTGAAACTTCCTACACTGAACCAACGTGATATAAGAACTAGGTTGTTTTGTTTTAAGAAAAAAAGGTACATATTCAGTAATAATACATTTTGGCATTGTAGATAGCAATGCAGATTCTTGAGGAAATACTTTGAGTACATTGTCCTTATGATTAACTAGTTGTGACACTTTGCAGTGACCCCATAAAATACACACGAGAACCACTACACACCTGGAAACTCATTTAAACGTTAAGCTGTAACTCCGTTTATGTCATAGATACGGGGGTTTACAATTGAAATCTTCATATTTTTACTTGAATACATATTGGATATCCCTAAGTGGAACTGTGTCATTTGTTTTTTTCAAATCCCAGACACGCTTTTAATATCTATAATAGAACCTTGTATACAGGAAGCACTTAATAGGAATGTGGTCAATGGGAAAGTTTTCTACAGTTTGTTTCTGAATTCCAGAAATGAGATGGTAATTGAAACACTTGACATCTTTATTTTATATCAGTTGGGGTATGTATAAATAATCAGTCGTTCAAGTGTCACAGATACTACAAAAGGCTTATGTTCCCATGGTGTTCTAGAAGGGTATTATCACAGCAGTAAAGCTCATATGTTGTCATTATATTTTCACTGTAGTCATCCTACCTTATAAATGTTGGGATTCTTCAAATCCTTCTTTTAGTGCTGAAGTAAATATAAAAGATAGTTAAACATTCATGCTTTGATATGTAAGTGAGGAATGTTAATATGGTAATACATGTGAAGTCTATATTAGTATCATTATTAGATATAAATACGGTAAAAAAAACTAAGACAAAAGAAATATAGAGATGTATTTCAAAAGAAGGAAAATCCGTATGTGTATAAATTTGTTGGTGAATTCAATTTTACAATTACATTTGTAGTTTAGCTAATTATAGTAAATAATGGACATAATATAAAGTTAAGAGAAATGTGTTAATGTGAAGGCACGGCATTATCTTGTAGCTTATTTTATTCTTGAATAGTTTGAAGATTAAAGTATTTTAGTATTATTGAATGATAATTGTACTTTGAAAATGAACTCCTAATGCAACTTTGCACAATAAATACTAATGTTGTTAACTAATATAATTTTAATCAATGCCTGTCAGTGTTGTAATGTTAGGATATTAATTTATTGTTGTAATTAAAAAGGCAAGATAAAAAGCTCAGGTAGTACAATATATAAAAACGAGCTTTTAATAGTTGGCAGGCCAGTGCTGTTATTAAATAGTATTATAGTATTTAAGGTGTGAAATGAATATTTTTCTACTCAGCAGGCAATAGCTCTTACAATGTAATGAGCTTACTTGTGAATTTGACACTTGGGTTAAATGCAGAATTCATAGAAGCAGAGCTCTGGGGTGTATTTCCATATTAAGGTTAACTGATAAAACCTAGGAATTTTCGTACAATCATACTAAAATGGCAAGAGAATTGTCAGTAAAATTCACTTTTGAAAACGACAATTATTTTTCTGTTGCTATCATTGCTGTTTTAAACTTAATAAATAAGTTATTAGAACAATGTGACTATTTCAACCCTCAAAGATCCTTTAACCTTAACAATTCTACCTTTGTATTATTTAAACTGTCTCAGAAATCCTGACCTTTCTTCACAGTCAGACAATTCTGGCTGTCAGCCTAGTACCATCATATTCAAGCTATATATACTTGTGTCCAGGATAATGATTAGCCTTAGTTTATTATCTCATAAGACAGACTTACAGTGTCTAACCTGCTCCCTCCTCACATGTGTTTTAAAGACTGAGATAAAATGTGTATGGTAAAGCCTTTTGAAAATCCAAATGCAAAACTATGGCATTATTAGTTCTTTGGATATTAGTCTTTCCTATAAATTGGCAACTTTGTTGCCTTAGTCTTCACTTAACCCTCCAACACGTGTACCTTTTGTAGCATATGCCAAGGTTTTATTGACTTTTGAATTCAGTCTTAAATTGGTCACCTAAGTCTGTAGTCTTTCCATTATTTATCTTATCATGGTTTTAGATTGTCACTTTCAAGAGAGTGTAGTCACTGATTTTTGTTGTTTTGTTTTTCATTTGTTAATATTTAAATGTAGTGAGGTGGTTCAAATCCTGACTCCAAGTACTTTGGAAACGTGGGACAAGTCTTAGCCTCAGTTTCCTCATCATTAAAGTGGGGGTAATAAGACACTTGTTATAAGGAGTTAATGGGATGGTGTCACATGGTAAGTGCTGCATAAATATTAGCTGCTTTTATCTTCCAGTCAATGTCATTATCATCATTGTCATCATCGTTAACCTTCTGGTATTTAGAATTGTTTACAGTGCTCTGATACGGAGACACTAAAAGGAAGGTAAAAAAAAAAAAAAATGTGTCTTACAAGAAAATAACTTTTGTCTGTTAGCTGAAAGGGAGCTAAGAACAAGCTTAACCTGAGGCTTGAAACTCTCAATCTCTGGTACAGTATTCTGGGTTGCCTTTGTACAGCCATTGTGTGCACAGAGTAGTGATAAAAGGCAGATGTTTTACTATTTGTATAAGTTCAGAGGTGGATTTTTGGAATTTTGACAACTTTCGAAATCTATAATCAATCCGATCATAACATGATAGTTTCATATGCCTAACGATCATAGATTTGTTGTTCTTAGGCCAGGAGGTTTTACTTGGATTTGTGTCTTTTGTGGTTTTGCTTCATTGATTCCAGTGGAGTACAGCTGAATTTAACTCCTAAGGCACCAGTATGATTATTATATGGTGCCTAGGTAATAGAGTAGATTTTTAGAAGTTTTTGTTAAAATTCAGTTACATGTCCCCCAACCATTTTGCAGATGATGTGTTAAAATGGAAATTTTATAAGAATTGAGAAGATATTATTGGTTTATGCAGTAGATCATATGCTTTTTAAAGACCAGCGTTTTCTGTCAGATTTGTATGAGCGCTCTGTATGTCTTATTTAACTATTAAACCTGAGAGACCCTTGCTGGGTATGAAAGAAGAGTAGTCGTTTGCCAATTAGCAGTTTGCAGTAGATGATTAACTTAGTGACTGTAACGCAGGGCCACATGGTAGAAGGAATATTCTCTCCCCACCACCCTCCTCCTCTTCCCAAGGGCAGCTGACCTTCTCCTCTCCAAAGAGGCGAGCCCCTTGCCAGCACATATGACTACAGACTATTACATTAATCTGTTTAGCTGTAGTACCAGCTGCTTGCATGTTTTTAATTATCTTATTAGATGGTATAACAGTGACCTATGAAATAAATTGAAGGTGAGCATTTTTAAACTTTCCTTTTTTTACCCTAGGTTTCTAAATATCTTTATTGATCAAATTATAACTTTCCACAAAAGTTCAGAGAAGTCTATATGGTTTTTGAGTCAGTGTAATGCTTTTTTCACATGTAATGTTATAATTCCCCAAATAGAAAACAACTTCATTTTTGCCTCATTTTTTATTTAGGATTTAAAGATTGAGGATTGCCTCATTTAAGATTTAGGTTGTGTTTCTGTAGTGACAAATCCATGTGAAGATACATTGGTTAAATAGTCAATTTAGTTAGAGAAGACTCAAGACCAGTTATTGGCATTCTCTGGGAAACGCAGAATATTGCTTCATTTTCAGACATCATCTTGGCATTGTATAAATGTCATAGGATAGAATATAAGTCATTGTAGATTATTTTTAAATACACTTGTATATGTAACTGTGATTTTCTAGATTCTGATATGTGGTAGTAAATCATGTAGTCTATCCTAATTATTTTTACAATTTAATTTCACATGGTACCATTTCTGGGTGTATTTTCCCAAGCTGTGTCATTAAGAAAAATGTATTATCTTGTGAATTTTGACAATTGGATGATTTTCAAATAATACTTTGTAACTGAAGTGTTGACTACTGAAGATACAGTTGGAGATAGTAATAACCAGTGATTGTTCTAACTCATAGCCAATAAACAAAGAGTGTAATAGTTAGAAACCCTGGTGTTGAATGAAAAAAAAAAAAACACAGATAGTGGGATGCAGAAAGGATTGCAAAATACTTGGGCATGTCTTTTGAATTAATAAATCCTACAACGAGGATAGTGGGATGACTTGAGACTTGAAAATTTATAAAGACCTTAAATATTTGTAAAGTACACGCAGTGTTTTTGTAAATCAAGAAATACCCATTCTTTTTGGCTTCCTATTTTTTTTTCCTGTAAAGAATTGCTATATTTCATATTTCAAAAGAAAAAGGTAACTTTTTTCCTTCATATATTTTATTTTCTTGCCTTAAAAAGGAAAGAAGATAAAAAGCCATTTGGCTCTAAATTGGTGGTATTTAAAATTTCTTAATATTGAAGTTGCCTCCCTTCAATGTGGGAGTATTCT